TTCCCTACAGATATTCCTTAATGGCAGGAATAAGGCAAATCCCAGGTACTATAATACCCGTCACAATACTGAATGTCTCTCTGTTACGACACTTTACACCTTTTAAAGGTTGCACCGTTTGCATAGCTTCCAAAGAAGCAGTCACTGAAACTCTGTGGTGGTAGAGACAGGCTGTGTTTGTGAAGCGGAAGCCCAGGTTGGCGGAATGGAGGCCACGTCGGGGTCTCCCCCTCCTTGACCACCCCCTTGCCGGGAGGCACTACGGATCAGATCAGTTGCCACACTGCAGGCAGGGCAAAAGATTGGTTATAATATGCAGAGTGGTTTTTGTAACATGAGCTGAATGGAAATTTGGAGACAGCTGCTTGAAACTTCATAATCTCATGAATGGCACAAAACCTACCCCCCCCCCCCCCAAAAGCACAGGGCAAGTTCAGTGGTACACCTCCACTGTTAATGGGGTTATTTTGGGCCCAAGAAAGTAGGTTCTCCCCTCCCCGCTGAGCAGTGGCGTGGCAATAGGAAAAATGGAAGCTGGGAGAAAACATCCATCGAGTGCCATAGGCAGAACGCCTGTGTCTGAGCTCGGACCGAACGAGAGCCGTCGTTGCTGTTGAAATAGCTTAGCAGAGCTGTGCTCGTCCCCGGCTGATGCTTTAACCATCTCCCACACAGCTGTCTGCTCCCAGGAGGCGATGACAGGTCCCTGCCGGGCTGTGATGCCTCGTTGGTACTTCGACATGTACAAGAGAAAGTGCATTCGCTTTATATATGGAGGCTGCGGAGGCAACAGGAACAATTTTGAGTCAGAGGAGTATTGTATGGCTGTGTGTAAAAAGATGAGTAAGTCCTGCCTCCTGCTGTGGCCCTTTGCAGCAAGCTGTTGTCCTGTCTGTCTTCTCCTCCTTGGCCAGGTCAAGGAAAGATTTTGTGTGTAGCCCCGCCCTATGGACCCCAGTGTCTGCTGAAAGTCCTGTCTGTCCTACAACAGTCCCCTCTTGTCTTTGTGCGGCTTTAGATTGGGGGCTCAGCTTAACGCTTCTGCAGCCAAAGGGCAACTCGCTTTCCTGCATGCATTTGTCTGCCTCTACAGGTCTAATATCTCACTTGCAAGGGTAATTAACGATCAGTTTAATCCTCTTCTAGACCTCGTAGCAGGGATTGAGCTTTTTGTTGTTGTTACTAAACAGCTGTCTTCACTCTCGTAGCAGGGATTGTTGTTGTTACTAAACAGCTGTCTTCATTCACCTTATTTTGGCCCTTTTTGTCTTTCTGCATTCCGAAGACGAAAGACTCCTGCATCTCTCTAAACCATTTTCTCCAGACAGTTGCCACTGATAGGAGAATGCTTCTTGCACCCTTTGTAAATGCAGGATTTTGCTTTGTTTTCTGTGGCATCAGAGTACGGTCCACAGCTTGATTACTCTATTTGATCGATTGAGGCTTTTGCCGCTTTTTTTTTTTGCTAGCTATTACAACAAAACCCATCCAAAACACTTTTTTTAACTCACTGCTGAATTCCAGCACTTCTATTTTGGCTGCCGCAAAGGCCTTTTGAAAGGCTTTTTGTACTTCCCAGGGCTTGGCAGTCTGTCTGTATAGCAGTAATCCTGTTTACAAAAATGGGCTCCATGCAAATGCTTTTGATTGGGTTGATCCTGATTGAAGTGGTGGAATAAAAGATGCGGATGTCAGGAGCTTTTTGAACAAAAGTTCATCCCATCCCAAAAGGATTTGGGGGTGGAAATTGGGGCATCTCTATTAAAGCCTGACTCAGAAACAGAGAGCAATATGCAGCACGTCTAGTTGGGCTCCTGTTGACAGAGAAATGGGGCCTTTTCATACGGGCAATATGTGCTGTCTCGTCCCTGTCACTGAACTCATTTCCTTGGTGGAGTACCAGGACTGTGAGTTAAGTGTCAAGACTCCCTTCCAGAGTTTGCACAGTGTGGAAAAATGTGTCTTGCACAGTCTTCAGGACAAAGTACAGGAGGCCAGATAGTTCAATCTGAAATTACTCTAGTCAGCTTCGAAAATGATTAATCAGGGCCAATTTGGATTTATGACCAGCCCCTTCTTCCTGCAAACACTAATCCATGTACTGCTTGCATTTGCGTTTAGCGATCGTCCTTTAAAATATTTGTCTTCCCTATCAACCAAATGTACACAAGGCTGTGTGATTCAGTTGTAAAGTGATAGTGATTCAGTTGTAAAATGTGAGCGTTCCACACCCCTCGCCAATAAAAATCAAACACTGCAAATAAAATAGCACTTTTAAAAGCTTTTTATCCTTCTCTGAAAGTCTCAGCAAGTAGACTTGCTTTAACGTGCTGCTTGAAAAGTGCGAAGAAGTGCTGTCAGTTATAGTGGGGAAATCTAAGATGTGGTTGCCACAACTGTCCTTGGTTGCCACCTGTCACTTCAGACGTTCGCAGTTTCAGGCGGGTGGCAGAACTGGATTTGAATCCAGAGGCCGACAAGGTTTCCGGGTATAAGTGCTTGAGAGTCAGAGATCCCAAGGTGCTGCTGCACTCAAATCTAGAGCCTCTAGTCCCCCAGTACATAGTAAGAGGCCATCCGAGACCTTCAGTCAACTTGGCTTCAGGCTATTGAGTTTAGTGGTTGATACCTCCTTTCCTGTGCTTCAGCGTAGTTCACAATACATGACTGTGCACCAGATCCTGCCACAGACTAGCAGAGGGGACACCACAGACGGCATCTCCTTTTGCTAGTCTGAATCCTGTGTATGGACTCCACAAGTAAAAGTCATGATCGTTTGGTTGCAGTGCAGCCTCATTCCCTTTCACTTTTCAAACGTTTGAAGGGTCCCCTGCTAGCTGCCCCGCTGTGACTATGCAAGTGGATTCCCTTGCTGTGCCTCTTTGTTGTGTCGTATAACTATGTTGTTGTCATATCACGTGGTAGGGTTTCTGGGGGCAAACGGGGAATGATGTGTGTGGCTTTTCCTTGGGGATTTAACTGTCAAGATAATCTAGCCATTTCGTTGTTATTTGGGGGTTAGCGCTGACTAACCTAGTCTTACCTGTCCGTGTATCCCAGCAGAAACGTAGGGGAAGAGGGAAAAGCAACCACCTTAGCCATCGTTGAAGTTTACTGATCCTGATGGTCAAGTGGTTGAGATTGAGAAGGTTCCGGAGACACACTCAGATGCCTTAGAACATTATGGCTTTTTAAGGCGCTACAGAAAAATGGTAGTTGGTCGAAATCGCAGTGGAGTTGGGGAAGCTAAACACACAGACACAAAAGCTGCCTTATACTGAATCAGACCCTTGGTCTGCCAAGTTCAGTATTGTCTACTCAGGCTGGGCAGCAGCTCTCTCTAGGGTCACAGGCTGAGGTCTTTCACGTCACCTACTTCCAGGTCTTTTTAATCTGGAGATTCTGGGGATTGAACCTAGGACCTTCTGCACACAAAGCAGAGGGTCTTCCACCGAGCCAGAGCCCCTTTCCTAAAACCTGTTCCTGTGAGTAGATCAATGGGCAGCATGTTTTCCCTGTCCTGGCTCCATTACTCACAGCAGCAGCTACCTAATATCCTGGGCCCTTGATACAGTCCCATCCTGTCTTTTTCCAGTTCCTCCTACTCCTGTGCCTACTGACGATGTGGACGTCTACTTTGAAAACCCAGCAGATGACAATGAGCATGCCCGTTTCCTCAAAGCAAAGGAACAGCTAGAGGTCCGACATCACAATCGCATGGACCAGGTGTGTGTTGCTTAAATTGTAGTGTTGTAATGCTCTTGTTCTGCTAATTCAACATGGTGGCCTTATTGGTGGCTGTCTCCTTTGTTGGTTTACCAGTTTGGTCCAAGTATCTCCTTTTGTTTGTCTTGTTTATTGAAGTTTGAGCTTGTCCTCTAGATAGGAGAAGCTCCAAGCTCCTGCAGGCTTAAACAGTAACTTGTCATCCTGAATTAGAAACTTGTGTCTGCTGCTGGGTGTTTGGCTTCAGCTTTCCTTGGAAGCCTCTGACAAGTTGTTGCGCTGTATCTGAATCTATCAGAACTGTCTCCACATGGTGAAGAAGCCCAGAAATAACCTGGGCTGTGTTTGTGTGTCTGTGTTCCTTATAGGTTAAGAAGGAATGGGAAGAAGCAGAACGTCAAGCCAAGAATCTCCCAAAGGCAGAGAGGCAAACTCTTACTCAGGTAAGCCAGTACATCTAAAGCAAAGATGTCGAACTCATTTGTTACACAGGCCAGATCTGACATAAATGTCACTTTGTTGAGACAGGCCATGTGTGTCATAAAACGTAACACAAGGTACTGGAGATATAAACTTTATAAAGATGATTTCAGATGCTGAATGGTAATAAGCAGGCGTGATTGGATTAGATGTGATATGCAGAGGGGTGGTAGGCGTGAAGATACCAGCATTGGTGATGAGGCAGGAAACCTAGGTCTCAATTTGGTACAGGAGGATTCAGTCCAGGAGGATGTAAAGAATAAATGGAAATAAGTCTGAAAAAGTGAGCAGTGACTCACGAAACGACAATGCCGTACCACAAATTTTGTTCGTCTTTAAGGTGCTACTGCTATTAGAAACCACAACATTCAAAAAATCAGTGGGGGGACATTTTAACCTTCCAGGACATTTAGTTGCTGACCTAAGAGTAGCAGTTCTCTTACAAAGGAATTTCAAAGGGAGATTAGAAAGAGAGACTGCTGAATTGCAACTGAAAATGAAGCTCAAAACAATGCATCCTCCTGGACTGAATTGAGACCTAGGTTTCTTCTGTCATTACCAATGACTGCTACTGTCATATGGTGTCTGAAATCACTTTGCACTCCAAATACAGCTAGAATGTGAGTCCATCTGTCTAGCTGTATTTGAAGAAGTGAGCAGTGACTCATGAATGCTCAAACGCTGCCTCAAATTTTGTTTGTTGTTAAGGTGCTACTGGACTCTTGTTCCCTTCCACTAATAATGCAAGCTGTGCTCTTAGGTTTCTTCTCTCCTATCTGCAATAAATGGAAAGGGGGATCTCTCCAAGTGCCATGGGACTCCATCCATCTCTCTCCCCTCTCTCCTCCCTCCCTCTTTGTCGCTCTTCCCTCCCTCCCTCCCTCTGAAGAAATGTGCAGGCACACAAAAGCTTATACCTGAAATAAAACATTGTTGGTCTTAAGGTGCCATGGGACTCAGTCTCTCTCTCTCTCCCTCCTCCCTACCCAGAGCAGGAGGGGGAGGAACCTCCAGCCAATTGAGGAAAGGGAGGCTTGGCTTTATTTCTCTCCTCTAGGAAGCAGGAAATAGGAGAGACTGGGCAAAAGCCAGCTGTAATGCAGAAAGCAGGTACAGGAAGTAGGAAGCAGCAGAGAGCCCGTTGCTCATGGGCCAGATAGGAGCCCTGCAGGGGTTGGATCTGACCTGCGGCCCATATGTTTGACACCCCTGACCTAAAGGGCTGAGGAAGGATTGTCTAGCCTGAGGATATATGATGACTCTGATCTCTCTGAACGTGGAGTCATTGCTGTATAATCTGGTTAATGTCAAAGTGCAGAATAATGTTCCAAAACGAATCCTCTTCCCTGTCTAGCTGCTAGAGGAGGCTTGTTTCTTTGTTGTGGGATTTTTCTGTTGTTGCTGCTTAGTATCGGCTTTTAAAGCAGAGCAGCAGGGGGAGATGAAGCTAACCACTAAGTGTGTCAGTTGGCATACCAAAATATAACTGTAGACCTTCCTCCAGCCTTTGTCTAGTTTAGCTGAAACAAGGGACTGTTCATAGTCATGGTTAGTGTGATGTGGCTCATCTGAAGATACAAAGCTCATATCTCTGCAAAGCTAGTAGAAAAGCTATGAGGCTGTAAATGAAATTGTGCTCTTTGTAAAGTACTGAACTCTTGTCCTAGAGAATGAAATCCACAGTGGACATTCCATAGTGATTTCTTAGAAATTGATTTGTCATCTGAAGAATTTATGGGGGATCAGAATGGTCCGCAAATGAACTGTCCCAAATTGATTTTTCTGTCTCACTTTTAGATTGGCATGTCTGTCTTTATTTGCAGGAGCCTAGGCAAGCTTGCTTTCCTGTTCATGCTAGAGAATCATACAATTATTTAAACTATAAATACAAACATATGTTCAGGGTAACAACAAAAAAATCCAACTTCAACCAAAATGATGTAGAAAAATTAAAAGTCAACAACGTTAGAGTTGATCTGGGTGCTTAGTAGTCCAAGACGGCAATGCTAACACACTTACCTGGGAGTAAACCCTATTAAATATAGTGGGACTTGCTTCTGAATAGATACACATTGGACTGTACTGTATGTCTGTTACATGCCTTTAGATGTGTTTCTCCTTGTCCATAGTGGGTGAGGGAGTTCATGCCTTTTTCAGCTAATCTGACTGGCTTACTAAATGCCAGCATGTCTTAAGAACAAGTCATATCAGACTAACCTTATCTCTTTTATTGAGAAAGTTACTACCTTGCTGGACCAGAGGAATTCTGTAGACATAGTTTATCTTGATTTCAGTAAGACTTTTGATAAGATTCCACATAATATTCTTGTTGACAAGTTGGTAAAATGTGTTTTGGATCCTATTACTGTTAGGTGGAACTGTTACTAGTTGACCACACCCAAAGAGTGCTTGTTAATGGTTCCTCATCCTCTTGGAGAGGAGTAACAAATGGAGTACCTCAAGGATCGGTGCTGGGACCTGTTTTGTTCAACATCTCAATAAGTGATTTGGATGAAGGAATAGAGGGAATGCTTATTAAATTTGCAGATGATACTAATTGGGAGGGGTAGCAAATATGGTAGAAGACCGTCAGGATACAGGATGATCTTCACAGGCTGGAAAACAGGGCTAAAACCTATAACATGAATTATAATAAGGGTAAATGTAAAGTTCTGCATTTAGGTAGGAAAAGTCAAATGCATAATTATAGGATGGGGGAGACTTGTCTTGGCAGTAGTATGTGCAAAAAGGATCTAGGGGTCTTAGTAGACCATACACTGAACATGATTCAGCAGTGTGATGCCATAACTAAAAAGGCAAATGAGATTTTGGGAAGTATAGTGTCCAGATCTGCTCTGCTCTGGTTAGACCTCACCTAGAGTATTATGTTCAGTTTTGGGTGCCACAATTTAAGAGGGATATAGACAAGGTGGAACGTGTCCAGAGGAGGACAACAGAGATGGTGAGAGGACTGGAGACCAGGTCCTATGAGGAAAGGTTGAAGGAGCTTGGGTATGTTTAGCCCGGAGACAACTGAGAGGTGATAAGATAACCATCTTCAAGTACTTGATGGGCTGCCATTTAGAGGATAGTGCAGAGTTGTTTTCTGTTGCCCCAGAAGTTCGGACCAGAACCAACGGGTTGAAATTAAATCAGAAGAGTTTTTGGTTAAACATTAGGAAGAACTTCCTGACAGAGTGGTTTCTCAGTGGAACAGGCTTCCTCGGGAGGTGGTGGGCTCTCCTTCTAGCCTCAAACAGAGGCTAGATGGCCATCTGACAGCAATGTGGATTGTGTGAATTTAGGCAGATCACGAGAGGGAGGGCTGCATCAATGCTTAGTTCTTGTGGCCCTTTCTCACACGCTCAGGGAAATGCTGATCGCCACTTTGGGGCCAGGAAACAAATTTTCTCCAGGCCAGTTTGGCCAGGGAACCTGGAGGGATTTATTTGGGGGGGGGCATCTTCTGGGCATAGATGGTGTGGGGTGGAGGTGTCACTGGGAGTGTGGGGGGAAGTATTTGTGAACTTCTTGAATTGTGCAGGAGGTTGGGCTAGATGACCCTGGAGGTCCCTTCTAATTCTGTGATTCTTTGACTAATCAATTTGTCAAATATTCATCAGCTGACCTGGGGCTAGTCCTCAGACTGCTTGTGCTCTTTCTCTATAACAGGCCAATATGGTTCCCATTATTATTACTATTAAACAAGATTGTGCATATCTCTGTTAGCCTGTAATGACAAACACTAAATTATCCAGTGACACCAGTATGCCCGTTTCCCTGGCTACAAGGCCCTTTCTGCATTTCTCTGCTATATTTTTGGACCAAGTTGCCAAGATAGCCGTTTCCTCTGAATAACGCATTAAGCTGAAATGCCGCTCATATTCTTCATAGCCATGAGCAGAGTTGTCACAAGATGGCTTTGGCTTCTGAGGTTTTACAGGTACTGGCTGACCCACGCATCCGAAAGTGGCTAATCGGGTTGGCGCTAATTAATCTCTTTGCAGCCTGTTAATGTTATTGCAACATCCTCTTGCTTCCTCAGCGATTCCAGGCAATGGTCAAATCACTAGAGAAGGAAGCAGCCAGTGAGAAGCAGCAGCTAGTGGAGACTCACCTAGCTCGCGTAGAAGCCATGCTGGATGAGCGCCGCCGGATTGCCCTGGAGAACTACCTGGTTGCTCTGCAGACCGACCCTCCACGGGTGCGTTCCCTGGAACATTTCAAATGCGTGAATGGCATAAAGAAGGCGGGCGTGTCTGAAGAGGAGCCAGTGTTACTGACTAGTGGCTGGCCTGGGCTTGCAAAGTATAAAAGCAGACGTTCTGTTTATGTATTTTTACCTCGCCTATGTCCTGCAATAGGAGCTGCGGTGGCTCAAGTGGTTAAGATGCTGAACTGCAGGCTGTGGAAGGTCAGTAGTTCAGCAGTTCAAGACCCGGGTGCCGCAAGACGGGGTGAGCTCCTGTCTCTAGTTCCAGCTCCTGCCAACCTAGCAGTTCGAAAGCAAGAAATTGCAAGTAGATAAATAGGTACCACTTCGGTGGGAAGGTAACAGCGTTCCGTGCGCCTTGGTGTTTAGTCATGCCGGCCACATGACCATGGAAACGTCTTTGGACAGCGCTGGCTCTTCGGCTTTGAAACGGAGATGAGCACCGCAACCCTAGAGTCGGATTCGACTGGCTTTCGAGCAAGGGAACCTTTACCTTTACCTTTATGTCCTGCAAAGCAGGACCCAAAATGGCTTACAATAAGAGGTCGCATTAAACAGAACCAAAAAAAAAAAAATCTCACATGATGTGGATGAAGCGAGTGATATGAGAGAGGATATGATAACCACCTTCATGTACTTGAAAGGCTGCCATATAGAGGATGCTACGGAGTTGTTTTCTGTTGCCCCAGAAGGTTGGAACAGAGCCAGTGGGTTGAAATTAAATCAAAAGAATTTTCGGCTAAAGATTAGGAGGAACTTCCTGACAGTTGGAGGGGTTGCTCAATGGGCTTCCTCGGGAGGTGGCAGGCTCTCCTTCTTTGGAGGTTTTCAGACAAGAGGGTAGATGGCCA